AAACATTAAAATAAAATAATTTTACAAAAGAATTTAAATGTCAATGATACAGAATTTAAAATATCGTTTGTAAATTAGATGAAATTAAATTGTAATAAAGAGATTTTTTTTAAGAAATAAAAAAACACCAAAGAAAAGAAATACCATTGGACACGGTCGAAAAATTACTTATATAGAAGAAATATCATTTAAACTTAAATACATTGATTATAATTTTTTTGGTTCACAATATTTCGTGTGCAAAGGCGTTTGACTGTTAATTCACACAGATACAGGTAAATAATCATAAGCGGCGAGTGGTTAAGTGGATAAGAAGGACTGAACTAAGGGTTGAAAAGGTGAGCAAGATTCAGGGCTTTAACAGTTACTGAACCTAGGTCGCACGGGGTATAACACACGTAGCTTTAACAGTTACGACTGTCTATACCATAGTGTACAGTGTACAGTGTACAGGGAAAGGCGTGTTGTCTACGGCCTGTAATACAACACACGTAGCTTTAACAGTCACGTGTGATTGTATTAAATCGTGTCGAGTATCGAGAGAGGTTCAGCTGTATAGAACGGTTTAGTTTACCTCCAATTCAGTCCTTCAGAATTCAACGGAAGTGACAGGGTAAAAGATAAAACAAATTTCTTGTGAGGACCTTGGACAAGACTGAGTTATCCCAGCTCTAAACGAACCGCCAGAAAAGGTTCATTACATGTTTTTCCATTGCAGAGATATCCTGATGAAACCTTTCATCTTGTTCATCACCTTCTGCACTAAAATTTGAAGGAAAAAGTCCACATGAGAACTTTGTAATTTTTAATTAAAGATGAAAAAATTTCTCTATGAAGTGAATTTCTTTCGTTACCCAAGAAGCCGATGACAATTTGCTTAAACGAAGTCCATGCTTTCAACTCTTCTTTATTCAACATATTATTAAATTTTTCATCCGTCATCAGTTTTTTGATTTGTGCTCCAAATCCAAATCATGCTCCAAATCGGCATTTTAAAAGAAATGCCGGGAAAAAAATGTGTAAAAAATTCGGATTATTGCAATAATTTTCAAAAATAAAAATACAGAAAAAGTACAATTAATTACATTTTTTAAATTAGATTTTTACGTTTTTGTTATCTTTGATTGTACTTTAATCAAAAAACCAACCTTTAAATCGGCGCATAGCTTGCAATTGAATTCGTTATATTGAATTAACTTTAAAACATCCTCGACTTCATCATAGGTTTCCTCTACCCCAACGACATGCGCTAATGGTATAGTGGGAAGTTCATTGTCGTTGTGAACAAGAGCAATTTTTAAAATAAATTTTGAACTATCTAAGAAAGGACGTCATTCGCTAGGATCATATCTCATTTGCAATTTCTTGAAAAGACTTTTAATATCACTGCAATAAACAGTTTGATAGAATTTTTTGAGAAAACATGAATATGCATTGCTTCTGTGGCGATATTCATTTACTCTTGTGGATTCACTTTAGCAGTTCCACTGTTGAAGACGTGAAGATGTGAGGCTCACTATAAGCTTTTGATAAATGTAAGTCTCTCGTTAAATCGTTTAATTCAATTTGTGATATAAAATGATTTGCGGTTTCACTCGTATAACTTTAAAATGAAACTTTATTTTCATATTCACTATTGTTGTCTTGCATATTTGGTAGAGTTGGTTGAGCAGTTGCATTGCTTCGTGAAACTGGCTTAAATGCTGATACTATTTCTGGATACTTCAGAAATCTTATTTTCGTTGGCGACATCATACATGTAATATTTATGATGCATATATAACACTGAGAATGGTTTACAACCTCTTTCCATAATATTGGTACACAAAAGTTCAAATATTGTTTTCTTCCAATATACCACAATTTAAGTGTAATCCTACAGGTTAGACACACTGCATTAGAAGTGCACGGTTTATCCTGCTTAGCCATAGCAAATCTCAAAAAGAATCGTATGGTATCATATGATACCATATGTAAAGTTAGCAGTTCGACGTCAAACTTTTATATAAAATGCAATATATTAATATTTAATAATATTAATTTTTAATTTTTAAATATAATTTGTACAATTTTATATAATACTGTTTAGATTTGCACTTTAAATTTCAAAAATTAAATTGGAAAAAATGATTTTTCTGATTTGTTAATAAACACCACTATTTTGGACAAATTTGGAAAATGGCGAATAACTTCTGAAATTTTTATTCGATTTTTATGTTAAGCCACTCGAAATGTTTGTACTAAAACAGTCTTTAACATCAGTCACACAAACAATTTTTTTTAAAAATTTTTGTGGGAGTCCCATCACATTGAAAATCGAAAAAGTTTAAAAAAGCGTAAAAAAACATTTTTCATCTGTACATTTTCAGCTACAGCTTAAAAACTAAATAAGCTACATTAACTCTGTGTACTCGTAAACGGTACACAGGAAAAAAAATCGTTGTGATTTTCGATTTCTTCGGGAAATTTCCCTATAGGAAATATAAGTCTCGTTTTTGGAAAACAAAACTTTTAATTATTTGTAAACTAGTGTAATTGAAGTGTTAAATGAGTCAAACAGTTATGTTGGTATACCATTATGTATCGTGACGGACAGAGGGTCAGCTTTTACATCATGTGGATTTAAGAAGAAGAAGGCGATTTAGTTTTGGCCGGAAATGAATCACCAAGCACAGGTATGTCAAGAAAACTCGAACCACTATTTAAAGGATCGTTTGTAGTCACCAAAGTAGTTACCAAGCACGCCGAACGAGGAGGCACTATTCGTCTGTGTATTCAAACAACAAATTGAAACTATGGTGTCAGCTATAAGAACGAGATGATGACGACAAAGAATTGAGTGAGGTCGTTTATGTCGATCAGAAAAGGCCGACTGTGAATGAAGATCACCCTGTAGAGGGGGAACAGTTTGGTAAACATCGATATGACAATGAAAGTAAGTAGTTGTCATTTAGCTCGCATCGGAACGACACGTCGAGCGCCGTAGTTCGCGGAATTCGTATTTGATTATATACTTTAATATTTAATAGTCCAACACAAATAGAGTAATTGTTAGATATTTGTAATATTTACTTTACAAATGTTAATCTTGCAGGCTTACGTTACAGCAAATTCAACAAAAATTAATATTTCTTATGCTTGGTTTATCTCCCAAATTTAAGTAGAGTTGCTAAGTAGCAGAAAATTAACTGAAATTTCATATATAGATTAGTTTAATTGTATCTGTTAACTTTTATATTAAATTTAGTATAAAAATCAAATATTAATAATCATAACTATTATTATCATATTAATTATATATATAAATATATTAATTATCATAATTATTGTAAGTGTAAATAAGTACTTTAATTTAGTTTCTTATTCTGTCTTTGTTGTTGTTGTTATTTGTGTTATCACATATTTTTAGCAATGTTGCTGGCTCTCACAAGTAACGTGCCACACGTAACATGATCATCTTCACACGCCACTGTGCGAGGTTGATAAGCATTATGTGTATTTTCTTTTATCGTGCGTTCGTTGTGAGTTGCAGCAATAGGCAAGCCGCTGCGACAATTCTGTTGTTCCCACAGGTGCAATATGAGTTGGCGCATGGCATAAGTGATAGCACATTTAAGTCATCAAATTTGTGAAGCAAGTTGGTATATGGCAAAATACATATACCAGCTTGCTGACTGCACTAAATACTATAAGTTTAGGTAATGCACATATTTCCCACGTATGCCCTTAGCCTTGAATGTTCAAATTCCATCGGATAACAAATCGTGGGAACTAGGTGCATTTCCTTTTTTACCATAAGCTTAGCATTAATAATTTTGTATAAAAGCAGAACATTTCTCAATAAAATTCAATTCAATTTAAACACCTGAATTCAAACAAGCGTTTTCTTTTGGTTTAAGTGCCTAAAAGAACCGTGATCAAAGTCAGTTTATGTGCCGAATTTGAAAACTAATAACACCAATTAAATAAATAAATAATTAATTAAATAAACACATATTTATATGTAAATATATATATCTGTTTATATAAAACACGTAACTGGTTCATGTGCCGGATTGCGTAAGTGAATGCTAAGCTGGTTAATGTGCCGGATTAGCTAAATCCGTATCAGACTAGATACGGATGAAAACATAACGTGTAAACGCTAAGCTGGTTTAAGTGCCGGATTGGCTAAAAGCTGTATCAAACTAGGTACAGTGCATAACAGTATCCTTAACGAAAGAACATCAATTAAACTACATCACATATACGTATGTATATACTCGTATGTATATAAAAAAAACCACAACGCGTAGTTATAGTGCTTGGAAACTTCAATTGCCGATCCCGCGACTGATCTTCATTGCTTTCGTGACCATATTAACTATTTTTATATTATACGAGTATGCATATTTTAATTTCAATAACTGCAAATAATAAACCTCTTGAAATTGCAATAATTTTGAATGCATTTCTTTTTTGATTGCTGTTAATAATATGGGAACAATGAACAATGAAAAACAATGTTGCAGTCATAAGTTGATTTTTTTGACTAATGACCTATTTTTTGTTATCATTTATGAAAGTAAATTATTAATGATTGCAATCGCTTTCCAGAATCGAAAATGATTCATATGTTAAGTACCAAATCAAAACGAAAACAAAATGATAAAGATTTGCTATTCAAGCAAATCGAAGATGCTCAAGCGACGTGACTGATTTTTAGAAAGTGTTCCATTGAAATGTTCCAACTATATATGTATGTATGTATACATATACATATATATATACATATAAATATATATATATATATATATATATATATATATATATATATATATATATATATATGTATACAATATATATATATTTATTTATGTGTAAATATATACATATATATATATATATTTACATTTAGTATATATATATAGGCAATATTCGAACAACTTGATTGCATTCGAATTCGAATATTTCAGTGGAACACTGTACTTTATTTTAATATTAAAATACTGATATCAAACCTTGCGCTTATGAGTGTTTGAATTATAGATGGGCTGAACTGACGCAGGCACATACGTTTAATCTCAGTGTTTAAGTGCTTCATAAATTCATTTTGTGCTAATTCTTCTGGTTGTTTATGTATTGCAAATAAGTAGTCTCTGCTAAGAATAGCTTCTAGAAGAAGACGATTCCATTGTTTTTCTTGTTTTAGCGATTTGTCCAATTTTCTTATTTTATCAGACAGTTGCAGAAAGTTTGTTTTTAGTTTAGTAAAATTCCTATAACCCGCAATTAATGTTCTCTCAAGTTTTGTAACAGTTTGAGTCATTTCTTTAAAAAATAATTCGTATTGAGTTCGTAGACACAAGTCCGAATCATTTTCATTACATTGCCACAAATTGGAGGATATGAAGCTTGAAGTGAGGCTTCGAACGCTTGATTCAAAGTACAAAGCGACTGGTGGCATCTTTTTCCCCGATTTAAATTAAATGGTATTATTATTAAGTTACTTAGAATTAAAAAGAACACAAAAAATATATATTTTAAGTCTTGGTTAATAGTATTAGTTTTGCGATTCAGCAATTCTGTTAGTATATGTATATATATATATATATATCTATATAAATTTATATACATGCATGTATACTTACTAAATTTATGAATTAATTAAAATTTAAAACTAAAATCTAAGTCCTTGGTAAATTGATAATTGAATAATTTTGGTGTAAACATAGATAAAGTTCATTCCACACTCAAATATTTGATCAGCAGACATTATTATACGAAAAATGTAAACTTAAGGCATTCAAAGGAATGGATAAGAGCACTTTAAAAAAACTTCAGTTGTAAGAATGAAAATTTACACTAAATTTCCACCTACATAAACGTGCACTAAAAACAATAACAACACGATCTAAAACACATCAATACAACACAGTTTTTTTTTTTATTAAACGACACACTTCTTATATTTATATTTAAACTTGGAAAAAGTAGTAGTAATTAATATTTAAAATATTTATTCAAAACAATTTATCAAAACCCAAAACCCGCTTGCAAGCCTTAATAACACCTTAAACTAATCTGAAATGATTTTGAAATGAAATATAAAAATATAATTAAATAAATGAAAATACTATGAAATACTGAGACACAACAGGTGGTATCACGTCGACTGTGTCGAAAGTAATTCTCTGTAATACGCAAAGGAGACCGACTATAACGAAAATCTCCAAACGAAGGCATAGTTGTAGTAAAATACTTGAATACGACAGATGGTCTCACGCCGACGGTATATAAAGTAATTCTACAAGATCCAGAATAATCCCACTAATAAATTCCGCACTTTTAGATAAAGCCAGAAGAATACAAAGCCAGGGGCTTGAAGGAGGAAGATCTATCAAGGACATTCAAGCACTGAAACTTCACAAAAGACATCTTTATTTAATTATTTAATTTTTACCCTTTCCAAACAAAAAAACCACAAATTCAAATTCTGTTTATATATACATATACATTTATTTTATTTTCTTTGTAATAAAAAGTTAATTTGTTTTCCTATCTTATATATAAAATTTCCATGTCACAATATTAGTTACCGTACTCCTCCGAAACGGCTTAACCGATTTTTACCAAATTTTATATGCGTATTCAGTAGGTCTGAGAATCGGCTACTATCTATTTTTCATACCGCTAAAGTGATTAGGGAGTCCCTACTCAGCAAAAATATCTTTATTGCTTTAAGAAAAATTTTTTTATTGTTTTGACATAAATTTTGTTTATATTTTTGAAAAAGAAAAAATTTTTTTTTTAATATTTTATGTAACTACGCCAACAAGTACATCGAGCATTTACATCCACTTCGTTTCTTCGTATTCGCCTTGCATGGCAGATGGAAAATGTACTAAAAATTTTTCTAAAGATTTCACTAATGATACTATAACAAATACCGACGGATATTCAATATATCGTCGAAGAAATCCCGATAATGGGGGACAATGGCGGGTGGTGCCGTATTCGTCTCTGCTAAGCAAGACATACAATGCTCATATTAATGTTGAGTTTTGTAGTTTTGTGAAGAGCATCAAATATATAAGTATGTCCATAAAGGGAGTGATATGGCTGTGTTTAGAGTAGAAAATACTAATGTAAATGCTCCTCCAATGAACAAAAACGGTGAAATTACGCTCTACCAAATTGGTCGGTCCATCAGCTCCAATGAAGCTGCTTGGCGTATCTTCGATTTTCTAATTCATGAACGGGATCCAGCAGCTGTTCAGTTAGCCGTCCATCTTGAAAACGGTCAGCGTGTATTTTTCACGAACGAGACAGTGATTGATCGTGGTACAAATCCACCTAAATCTACACGCACTGCATTTTTTGAATTGTGTAATAGTACGGATGATTTTGGTGCCTTCGCAAGAACATTACTCTATTCACAAGTACCACGCTATTTCACATGGGCTCAAACAAAAAAATGGATGCCCCGCCAGCAAGTTTCACCAGTTGATGCATGTCTCAATTTATTTAAATCGAACGCTTATTTACAGTTAATCCAAGACACACTGAGTGCTGACCCATTATCATTATTATTATTTACAGTCAATCCAAGACAATTTAAATTTGAAGATACAACAGTTGTTGCCAGGGAACTTGGTATAATACAAATCTATTGATTTTAAATTAATAATTTTATAAATAAACTATAATAACTTAAAAATAATATTGTTGGGCGTTTGTTATTTTTATTTTCCTTTTCGTTCATAGCGCTCCATGCCTATTTCATGCATATACCACACACACATACACACACATATATAATTACACACTTATAATAAGTAAGTTACTTTTTGTCTACACTATAATTTATCTAGAAACTAGAAATAATTTATAAGGCAAAACAACATTTGTCGGGTTATCTAGTTTTAATATATATTTATAGTTAATTGTATTTACAAAAAAAAATAATATAATGAAATAAAATAATAAAAAATAAGTATTAAAAGTAGTTTATATATCTTATTGCTAACTTAATGCTAATATTAATTACATTTTTTTAAATACTAGATAATATTAAATAGATATTAAATTAGATATTACTAAACATACAAGTGTAGTTAAATATATTTTCAAAAATTATATAAAATAATGAAATAAAATAAAAAATTAAATATTAGATTGTGTCTTTAGTATTCGTTTTTTTAATCGATCATTCTCATGTACGAAATGTTGTTGAAGGATGTGTGAAGTTTTTTTTTCATCAGCTGACGGAAATTTTTGAAAGCAAGTATCTGTAAATAAAATTGTTACAATATTATATGTATATATATATATAATTTAAAAAGTATTTGAATTTAAAAATTCATATACATATATATATAAATTCATATATATAAATAAAAAAAATGTGTTTATATATATATATATATTAGTATTTGAATTTAAAACTTCGTCACTGATATTATTATCATATTGTATTTCTCTATTTTCAACAACATCATTCAGTTCATTTTTTGTGAACTTTTTCTGAATTTTTATTGTCACATGCCTTTTTTTTTTTAATTCAAATATGCTCGACATAAAATTGCGTGCTTCTCTTTTAGCTGCTTGTCTTAAAGCAGACATTATGTTAGTTATTTTATTAAAGACACATTTCATTGTATTTTGTACATTACATATTTAAAGTTATTAACTTTGAATAGAATTTATATCTAGGAACTAGAAATAATTTATAAGGCAAAACAACGTTTGTCGGGTTATGTAGTATTAAATATAAATTTAAAATTTATAAATTTCGAAATAAAGCATTACGTTAATAAAGAAATTGAAATAAAACCACAGCACTTTGAATATTTTGGTCACAATCTATAAATTTATTGTGACGACGTTGGCGAGACTGAAAATACCTCATAAAATAAGCAACGACTGCAAGAAAGGGTCGTTACACAGTAATGTAAAGGAATTTTCTTTCGATATTAAGTCGCTTAATATTGATATTCATTTCGTATCAAAAATTGACAAAAATTCATATAAAAAACTTTCAACAGAATTTTAACATTAGGCCTTTTCGGTGGCTCGCAAGTACGGCAAAAAATGCATGTTGGCCTATGTTGGCCACGCGAGTCATTGGCATCACTGTTGCAATCTGTCAAATGTTTTGTTTTGACAAACAGCAAATCTTGTATATGTGCATATAAATCAAATATATTTTTATAAAAATATTATAAAATTAAAATGAACACGGAATTAAAAGGAATGGTAAGAATATTGGAAATTTAAAAATAAAACACTAAGATAAGTAAATTTTTGTAGGTACTGTCGATGTAGGGAGAAGAAAGCAACGTATTGCAGCGGCCGAGGAATGCAAGTTATTTCATGGATTTTTTAAATGTTATAAATGTTCGTGTCAAGTAGCACTCTAGGAAACACTTCGTTTCCTTTGTGGTCCATAGTTTGCGTATATTTCTATAAAAAAAATTTTTAGAAAAACTTCAAAAATTATGTTTGTTTTATTAATTTTACGTATGTAAACTACAAATTAAATGAAATAAAATAAATGTTATTTGGTAATAACTAACATAATAAAAAATTCAATGTGCTTAATACTTACGATTTCTCCATTCTTATTATTTCTTCGTTACTTTTCACGATTTTTTAAATTTTTGAATTCTGTTTGAATTTTTATTTCCTCAATTTTTGACATTTGATTGCACTATTCGTTGGAATTTTCAATGAAGGTTCACAATAGTTCGCTTATTGCGTTGGTAACATTTTTTTTTTACTGGCCGAGGTAGAGAAAATAGTGTTGTTGTTTTGCGTACATTGCGGCCAGTATAGGCCTGCATAGGCCAACAACTTGCTGTTTTTTGCCGTACTTGCGAGCCACCGAATACGCCTATTGTAAATTGTATTATGCCTTATGTTGTGTTGTGTAGAGCACGAAATACGAGGGCGGTTTGATAATTATGACTTTTTGAATTACCCGCGCAGTTACTCCAAATGCAGTACTGCCGTCAGCTGTAATCTACCAGTGAGCAACTTTCAAATTTTGAGCAAGCTATGTCATTCAGTTGATGTTTGATAGCCGATTAAAGCAGGCAACCTCACGAATTTTTAGGAAAATGGAAAAAATTATAAACATTAAAAACTAATTAAATCAAATAAAAGAAAACAAAATGAATGTAAGAAGGGTAATAGATATCATTTTTATCTTGTATATTTAAATTCATTTATTAACATAATATATATATTTGAATTTATTGTTAAAAGAATTGCTCACATGATTTTAACGAATGACTGGAATTTTGCAACATATTTCCAATGAACATTCACAATAGACTTATATTCGAATTTGACCGCACTAAAACTTAAAGAGTTAAATTGTTCATGAGTAAAACTTAACTGAACATTTTAGGAGCATTGTTGTTGCTTTACATGTTGTCTTTCGTAAGTTGCGAGTGTTTTTTTTTGCAACTCTGAAAGAAAAAATGATGGCTAATACAAATGAAGAAGATTATTTTTGCATCTATAAGGCCTTTTCTTTTGTTAGCTGGTTGCAAAAGAACAAATAAAACAAGCACTACTTTCAATAGCAACTCTGGACA